ATTTTTTTCCAAAAATGGACTTATACCGCTTAAAAAACAGCTCATTTTAAAAATTCTTTATTCCCTTATTATTATTTTTATATAATAAGAAAGTAATCTAAACGTTTATTGAATTCTATGAATCCTTCTTTTTACAGTGTTTTTTGGAAATCTCTTATAACTTACAAATGCATGAACGTTCACAGTCTACTTATTGTTTTTCGGTCCATACATATTCCTTCTATCCTGAGCATCCTATTTCTCTGCTGTTTTTTCTTCGCTACCATTATTACCGCGTATAAAAACGTAAAACGAGTGTATTTTTAATTATTCTTCTATTTTTATTTCTACCAGCTTTGCCAGCACTTTATTCATGTTTGCTAAAACTAATTGAACAGCATGGGACGTAGTGGTCTTATCTGCTTCACCACCATTTTTGTTCGTCGTCGTTTCTTCATACATCTCTATTATCCTTTCACTTAATCTTTCGCTCCCCACCCTTTTTTTACCGCATTTTATACAGCCCTTCTACAAGATGGCGAAAAAGAGTATAGAATTTCTAGTGCACATAGTGTTCACTAAATAAAAGAAATACTTTTTGCAAGAACGCATGGAAACATCAATATTCTCAATATTATGAACAATTTCTTGTTTCAATTAGAACGATGTGTCTCATGAAAGCAATGGATTATCTTCACTTTGTTGTGTTCTTTCTATTCTCATAGTTACTTCACGCCTTTATATCAAAGAATTTTAGGCTTCTTAAAAAGTTTCTGACCGTGTAATGAACAGTTTTACATGCATTTTGTATTTTCTTAATTCGTTATTATAGAATATTCTATATTCTTATTGTGTCTATCACTATCCTGTTTCTTATGTTTTCGATTACTTTGTTTGCGTTCTTCTTTCTTTCCTTCCATCTTATCAGTTGTTCATTTTTTCTCATACAATATTTTTTCTACAGTAGAATCCTCTATTACGCGATTAAAATATTCCGTGCTCTAAAGTCTCATGTTTAAGAATTTCGTATAAAATTCTCCTTTTAAATGCTAGTCCAACTTGTATTAACCCTTTAACCTTTTCCTTCCTGTATTTATTTTTATTTCTTATGAATTTTCTGAAAAAAAACTTACGGCACTAATCTACCAAAACACATATAATGACAGTTGATTAATACTTAAGCTCTTAGTGATAAGCAAAGATCCTTGTTTTCCTTTATCTAGGTATTTTCTAACTTTCTAGTAATTTATAATGTTCGTGGTAAATACCTATGTGTACCATTCGGAATGAAAGGGTAAGGGTCCTTGAAATTAGCATTTGGAATTAAAAATGCAATTTTGTTGATAATCAAACTTTAATACTCTAAAAATGATGGACATTACCTATCAATATTAAAATATTAATTACATTAGTCCATGTTTTGAAGACACCACCAGTCAGATTGTGTTTATAATTTTAAATTGAGACCAATAAGCTGCATGAAAAAAAACAATGAAAAGATGGTTTCAAAGTGAAACCACAGAACAGGAAAGGGTTAAGTTAGTCCTTTGCTTGTATCAGTTTCTTATGAAAAATTTTACTTTTATAATTATTTATCGACGATTTCTTAATCCCGTTAAATGCAGTGTTAAACATCCATTTCCATTGTTGTTTCTCATGCTTTCTTTTCCTTTCTATTTATTGCTTCTTGCTTTCATTAATGCGTCACGAAGCTTTTCTGTTGTTCGTTTTATTCTATCTTTACAGTTGTATAAACATTTACTAAACGTTTACTTTCCTTTTTGTTTCTTCTGCATCCTCAAATATCTCCGTTCGTTCTGCTCCTCACACAGCTCATGTTCCCACAGTCTTCTTCTACCGTTCTCTTTTCCTCTTTCTTTTTACTTGCTCCTCTTCAAAAATTAAGTGCACTATTACCACTGCTGAACATTACTTTAATTTCTATCTTATTTTTTTTACGTTTTCTGATGAATGTCGATTTCCACCACATAATCGATTATCGATTTTTTTATTGGTTTCATGAAAATCCATACACTTTATTTATCTTTTCTTCATCTTACTAAAAATTATCTATTCTTTCTTTTTTCAATTTCTCATTATAATTCTTCTACATTTATTTATTGTTCTATCTTTCGACTTTTTCTGTTTAGAATGTTATTACTAAACTGCAGATATATATTTATAATATATATATTTATTGGAAAGATAGTCTAAACTTGCATAGAATATACATAATATGAAACATATGTAAAATATTCTAAGTGTCGTACTTTTTATAGTATTCGTCAGAAAAAATTATATTCTATTTTAATTCTACTTTTCTAATTACATTTTTAAAAGTCTGAATTTGTAGGAGGACCCACAATCTACGTACTCATTATAATTCAAAGATTCTTTATTGAATTGTTAGTATTCTTTGGATTCCTCCTCACGTCAAGATTTCGATTTATGCACTATTAATGTTCACATGTTCAAGAACGTATTTGATTCCACACATTAGTTTCCCATTTTAACAGAGCCGCGTACCGAAGCTTGTGCGTGCATATGTACACAAGTAAAGTACATATGACAGCAACGTAAGTAAGCATTATAATGCAAACGTAGGAACTCAGTCACAAATACAAGACTGCGTTTACATTGGATCTAATTGCAAACAGTGATGCTCGTTGGAACAAATGACGATTGTTGATTTAGGCTGCTGTGAATATGTCAACGGAAACACAACATCGAACAAGATTTCAGTCGAGAGTAAAGGATTCAAATACAAAAAGTGCAAATTCTTAGATTAGTGGTGAAAATATAGTTTCTGTCGACTTCTGACCTTCCTTATGTTTTTAATATTGTGGTTGATTATTTGCGAATTTCCGAAATTGTAAAAATAATGCAAGTATGCTTAATTTGAGAAAGTGGTAATGTGATGTTATGTTAATGTTACTACACGAAACAATTTTATTATCTCGGAATTTATTCTCATATTACTGAAACATTAATTCATTAATTCATTAATTTAACGGGCTTCTTATAATTTTTTAAGTGAAGATGTATACAATTTTCTTTGAAGTTTCTTTTCATCAGAAGTAATCCATTAATATTAAATTTAAAGATTAACATGTAATGCTTTTCTATATTTCAAAACATCACCCGAATACTTGTATTGTGAATTGCATCACTTGACATTTTTCGAAGATTATAATATTTCAAAATCAAACTTCAATTTTATATTACTGTTTCAAATGCATACTTCAACTATAGAATTTATAAAATGCGAATAGAAGTTTATAAATGAAAATCCAATTGTTTGAAAAATAAGTTTCAGTTTTCTAGAAAGTTAGTTTATTGTAGCGTGTAAAGAATAGTCAAAGAATTTTTAACCGAAGAGAAACAGATTTCGCGAAGGGCTTCGCAATGTACTAAGTGAATGATTGGAAGGATTTTCGATATTATCTCTTAAAAGCTATTGCCAAAGGAAAACACGATTTATGAAAATGTTATTACTACTGATTGTCTGAATAAGTCTATTTAAAGTTAGTATTATCAGCTGTTACATTTTTTAATAATATCAAGACATAAAATTTTAGTCACAGTATTCAAAAATTAAATGTACGGTTCATATCATAGTCTTTAAGATTAGTACTACCAAATTTATTTTTACTGACATTCATTATATTATGCATGTCCAACTATCAAGTATTTTATATAATTTCATATACTTAATGCCTTTATGGTTTTAATAATCGCAGATCTTATAATATAATAATAGTTGTTGTTATTATTATGTTATTACATATTATACTATATATAATATATTATAATATTTTAATTATTATTAGTATTATGTTATTATTATATGATTAATTACTATTAAATAAACCAAATATAAAATCTGTAGTTGAAAGTTGCAGACTATTTATACGTAGCGATAAGTTAATTGTTTTGTTGGAGACAGAAAGTGACAGATTCTGTATGACGAATTAAACGTGGGTTAATTGAGTTTAATTAAGGGACTGATTCCATAAATTGACGGCACTGTTTGCTAAGGCTGTCTCATAGGGATCATGATTTATGACAATATTGTTTCGACAGTAGGAAGATACCTAACGTTCCATCAAATTAATGTAAATACGTTTTAGTTATTTCTGTCTCAGTTTTTATTAATAATATTAAAGAATATTCATTGTTTTATATTTCATCAGTTTACTTGATTAATAAAGATTACTGGTAAATGTTAATATGCAAGAATAATTATAAGATTCATTATAGTTTATTATTTCTTTTAAAATCATATTCCGATTAAGTAAAATAAAAATTAATGTTAAATAAATAGTTCGATGAATTATGTTTATGTTCCAGGCATAAAATATGAAACGAATACAAATGTTAATAATAAACATTGTCAATTTGATTTCATGTATTGAATGATTTTATTTATAAATATAATAAAACAATAATTAAAATAATTATTTCTTCGAACGGACGCGTCATTTCGTGGTTTAGATATAATAAATTCGCTTGTGTATAATAGATATAAGTAGAACCGTATTACTTTTAGTATATCAATCGCTAGACTTTGTTATTTCCCACGGAAAAGGAAAATTTCTGCATATAGACTATATACTTTAAAAAGTAAATATGTTGTACTACTAGTAATTCTATGTACTTCTATGTACTAAATTTATATACTTCCTAAACTATTAATTTTCTTAATTTAGAAAATTTAATATCTCTATCTCGTGAAAATATCTCTTGAAAATATAATAAAAAATAATACGATTTTAATAACAAGAACACCTGTAACTTTGAAATTTTGAAAAATATGACTTTACAAATATTCTTTGCGTCAAATATTTACTCTTTCAAAACAAATGTTTTTCTCTTTAGAAACACTCTTGCTTCCACTAAAAACAATCGATATATTTTACACGAACGATATCTTTATGTGAATCACTATTTTACTATTCTATAAAATCCGTTTCTCACATTTTGTGTCAACCAGTGTTCATAAAATAAAATTTGTTCAATAGGTACACGAATCAACTTATTCGTTGACAGGGTATTTATTCAATCAAGTAGAATCAGTCGCGACGCGAAAATAGCCCGTGATCTTACGCTGAAGACGGACAAAGATTACGATGGAATAGTGAAACATCAAAGCTTGCTACAGTAATGCGATTAAGCTCAAAGTAGCTGGACATTTCGCCCGTGTCCGAAAGGAGCCATGAATTCGCATGCGGAAAAAGTAAGAGGGTATGGAAGTCCCGAAGATGGAGGAGTCGTGTCATCGTCAGGTGAAAATCACTCGACAAAAAGTGTCATACTATAAAGGAAGAGTGGTAATCTTCTCGCATTTGCAGAGGCTTAGGTCGAGTTCGTAATGCGATTCAACTTGATAGGAGCTTATGTTGCCCGAAAGTGCTGCCTGGGCAATAGGAGACCGACTTTTGGACAACGCAATTCACCGAAGAAAAAAATCTGTTGGCCCATGTTAGGAAGCTATAAACGGAGATTGCACTTAGCCTTTTTACCTTGGATCAACTGATCCGTAAAATCTACTTTTATCAATTTAATAAAATTCTTTGACCTTTAAGTATAGACTTGAATTTAACTTTTCAGTATGGAAGTCTGAAAATTACTGATTGGTACTATTTCTACCGAAGGTGTCGGAATACACCTTTTAAATTTTTAACTTAAAATTTCAAAAGTTTTAAAAGTTCAAAATTTAAAGTTTCAAAAGATGTCTTTTTATATCTTCGGTAGAAATACTGTTACTGTTACATATTGTAGTAATTTTTAGGTTTATATCAGAGGAGCAGTGAGCAGAAACAGTAAAATTTACTGTGAAAAATAAGGAGTACGTTTACTGTGATACGGTTTAAAATACAAGATCTATTCTAGGCGATGGTTCGGCTGTGACTCGAGTGCAGCCCCGCTTTCGCCAGCGATGGGACACTTAATTTATGGTCCACCATCGGGCCACGTGCTTTAAGCACTTCTCAAAGAAAACAGTTCCGTGTCGCGCTAGGCGTTCGAACCAAATCTCCTATTACAAATTCGGAGAGAACGCCTCCTAGCATGACACATATTCTGGTTTGTAGTAACTAATAAAAAAATGTATTGCATTTATGTGTTTTTACTTACTTAAATATCTCTACATAGCAATAGTATCAGCTATATAACGAAAATTCACTGGTTTCGAAA